GTTTACAATATCATGAATTTATCTCGAAGGCACTAAAGCTACAACTGGAATTCAAATTTCCCATATACGCTAAACAAAGAGTATCGGGAATTAATTATTTATAGATCGCACAATAAATAAGATCAATTGTTTTTTGTTTTTCAATTATTTGTTTATTTTTTTAAAACTCGCCAGAGATCTTATTTCTATTAGTTTCAAGAACTGTTTGTGTTCCTAATTGTTGCAAATTGCTCTGACACGTAATCGTAATATGCCGATCGAAATAGAATTGAATTATTGTAAAGAGTACATTAACCATCTTATTCATCTATTTAGGCTATGTTGTATTTGTAGGGGTTTTCTTCTTTTCGTTACTATTACATTTTTTACTTTATATACATGAAAATCTATGTTAAAACTTAAAAAAGAAAAAAAATTTTTTTTTACCACGACTACGCTCGTTTTAGAAAAGAAGAGAAAAGACAAAACTAACTACTAGATAACACAAACTTCCTTAAGTTTAAAATTGAAAATAAAAATGAGTAATCTGAATATACTTTCCGATCAATATTTCCATCATTTTCGAAATATGAAACTATCTACTACTTAGCTACTACCCGCAGAATTCAAAGTAGGCATGAAAATCCCTGAAAATGGCAAATTTTTAAGAAACCAGTGAATTAAGCGATTACTTAGCATAAATCAATCACATAATGGAATTCCTGATACTTTTTGATTGGAGTAAATTCACCTTTTCACCTTGCGCGTTTTTAATTACTGTTCGCATTTCAAGAGCGAAGTAACTTTGAAATTAAAAAATAGAAAAAAATATATATATACATAATAATTAATTTGAAAAATAGAAGCAAAACCAAGAACGGGAATAAAAATAACATTTTGAAAGTATGCAGAGCAGCGTTAAAATAGAAACAGACCAGAAATAATGTTCGACACGCATTTATGCGGGACAAGGACATAACTTTGATATACATTTATTGAATAAATATGTGATGATGAGCACATGTAGGTTGACTTTATATTTGTTTAAATTGCTGATACGCTTTATGGCGACAGTATTAATGAAGGCGAATATACGTGCCGTTAAATATATTCTTGTTCACATGATTGATTTCTTTTTATTCTCTATGAATTGCTAAAAAGGTCGTGACATAAATTAAACGATTTACTCCTAATAGTGAATAAATAAAATAATTTTTATAGATACGCCCGTTCTCTTTCCATATTTTTCTTTTGCACTAACTGACAACAACAACGTAACAGTTGCAACTTGTTTACACTTTATCATTAAAATTCGCTTTCACTCCCTACAATTTCAACTGCGTTCAATCGTCAACTTACGTTTATTGTAATCATTTTGACAGTGAGCGACTTCTGAAAAAATTTTAATCGGCGTTAACAATGATTCCGCGCAACTAGAACAACTAGAACAGAGGTACAAGGGCTATAGACACAGTAAAGGATTATAATGTTTTCAACAATGAATTTAAAAGAAATATTTCGTGAGAAGCTCGGGGAGGAAGATACTAACTATAACTATATGATTTATGCCATATAAACACATTTGAAATTTTAAGCTCATCTGTACAAAAATGGCAGCTCAATGACAACGTATCGTTGGTGTTGTACTCTTCATAGGGGGTTTATTTATATGTTAATATCGTCTAAAGGCGGACTACATAAAGCCTCATCTGTTCGAAATTTTTGCATACAAAACTCGTTTTATTTTCACATTACTTTTTATTATCCCACTCAAATGAAATTAAGTGAAAATAGCCTACTACGATAAGATCGCTCATAAAACACACTGCATCACTTATCCTAATATAACTCTTCCGTTATGCTCGTAATAAAATACAAAAAATTAAACTTTGATTTTATGTAAGTCATTTATATGACGTCATTTAACAAAATGAATTTTCTTATCAAAGATTTTATTACATCTTTTCTCATGTCATACGTATATAAAGGCTTAAATTTTGCTAGAGCTATTATGACTACTATCCAAAAAATTAATTCATGTCGTCCAAGTTTCGCGCATTTCATTTCTACGTAAAACTGATATTATAGATTAGATTTCATCATAAAATGTTGACAATTAGACCATTGTATAGGCACGTTATAGACCCTCACTGGGGTACGGTTATATTAAAGATTCTTTAAAAAAGATAGTCCGTCCGTTCCAAAATTTTCACATCAATTTAGTAAGTCGAAATGAGTTAACGATTTGGTCGCGAAGTTTTAAAAGTTGACTCTTTCAAAAGAAAAAGTTACACGGGAGGAGGAGGAGTAGTTGCCAAAATGGCTGAATCTGATTTAGCTTCAATAGTTTGTCCTTGCGGGATATCATGCGATTGTAGTAAATTTCTTTATCTTAAAGTAGTGCCATAACTGCTGTAACGAATAAACATCTCCAAAGCTATAGCTGCGTGTACCATAACATAAAGAGGCCTTATCTGACTAACAAAAATATTAAGAAAACTTCTGCCGAAAATCTGGCTAATAACAAAATCAGTTAAAAAATGAATGGATAAAAAAAAGGGCTTTTGTGGCTTATCCTAAAAGGTTTACAACTAAAAGATTGGCGTTAACAGGGAGATTTGAGTCGCAATATTTGAAGAGAGAAGTCGAAAAGAAAATTTTTTTAATATATTTCCTTTCAATAAGTTGCTCAAATATTGTAAGTAAAGTAACAGTGGCTTGAGTCCCCTAATTAAATGGATTTAACATTACAACATACGGTCAAGTCTTCTATAACACAGTTTTTTGTAATGCGATTTTCATATAATTCGAAGCGAAGATTTGAATTCTCTAATAATACGTTTTTCATGCAAGAACATTCCAATAAGTCTACCGACTTGACAAATTTTAGTTATACCTGCATTTACTTGATGTGTGTCACATTTTTATTGCTGACATTTATGAGTTATTACCAATTCTAATTATCACAGAATTCCGTTAAAAAAGTAAGCAAGAAATGAAGAATTGCTTTGTTTTTATTTATCCTAAGAATATAATACTTACAACTAGGTGTAATAATTTTCTTTTTATTCCTTCTACAATAAATAGATGCATCAAATAAGTGTTTTCTGTGTCTTATTTGTAACAAACACATCTTCTTTACATTTTGTGAAATAACATTTCGGTTCATGCTATTTTTATTTAAAAACGGTTTCATGTAAGTGACCGCCTCTGGACTTCTGCAAAAACCCAATCGTGAAACACCAATTTTTGCAAATTTTCTATATATGTTTGCTCTTAGTTCACCAATAACACGAAAAATCTTGATAAATAAGATCATTGAGACTTCAAAGAAACGTAACTATGAATTCATTGCTTTCATGATACGATTTAATACTTTCTGCACGCTGTACAATTATGTACGTATTGACGAGGTCAAAGCAATATATTAAAAAAAAATTGATTCAAATCTCAATCAGAAGAGTGTTTTATTTACGTTTACTCTCGCTCTTAAGAACGCAGTATGAATTCATTTATAATTTAATCTCTCTTAACGCGATCTTGCACAAAACCCCATTTCCCGAGGTGGATCAGTAGTGTGTTTCATGTAAAACGATTTTCGTATAACGAGTCCCAAATTCATCGCACTGTAGCAGACTTTACTGTACAAGCGCATTTCGATTATTATTCGGATATATTTTTAAATATTTATTATTTACTCAATATTAAGTATTTATGATACCTCTCCGTCCACCAATATTCTATAAAGTATTCTCGCATTTAATTATTTACTCGCACTTGTCTGGCAAAATAACCAGTTTTTTTTTTTTTATAACTATGAAAAAGAAAAGCAGCAAGAAAAACCTTTCGTATATTGGTTTCCTTAAAACAAAGTAATTATCATAAAGCAATAAATGATATGTAAAATACGTGCTCATAATTATGAAAGTGGTCTAAGTCATATATTTCTTGCTTCGATATATTTAATAAATTGCATTTGAATAAATCAAAAAATATTTTTACATTATGCGATATTTTAATTTAGAATTTTATTATTCTGAATTAATAGAAATTTATTATGAATATGAATTTCATATAAAAATGTTGTTTTTAAAGTTTGAATTGACTTAGACAATTTTCAAAATTAACTTAAAGCAGTAACAAACAAAACCACCATGAGTTTTATTAGAAACAATAACATTATTAAAATAATTCATGAGCATTTTTTAATTATTTTTGAGAAGTATTCCATTGTTATCATTTTAAGGTTTTATCATTACGGGTTCTTCGGGATTCTCAAAATGTTCTTGCAAAACTGAACTGAACTGGGTGTACAGTGGTAAACACGTAATATATTTATGTTTTTCTTTCATTAGTGCTCTAGCGGCAGTCTATAATGGAATTTTAATTTAATTTAATATTTTCATATATTTTTGGCGTTCCTCTTTTAGATGAAAGATCCAAAACATGGAATTTAGAATCATCTAAACAAGTTTTAGCGAACACCTTATGAGGTTTATGTTTCAAGAATCTCATCCATTGAATTTGCAGCCAAGATACAGATTCGCCCATGGTATTTTGTACTCTCCTTTTCGTTGGCCGAAATAAAATCCTGCGGCGACATTCATTTTTCCGAAAATTTAATTTCTTAAAAAACATTTTCATAACAATACACAAATTATTTTTCCGCCAATAATTAGTTCGAAAGAACCTAACTGAACTCATGTACTTTCAAAATAGAATTAAATAAATTCCATACATTGTCCGGTAGAATGGAATGCGTTGTCGTTTCTGTTATTGTCTGATTGGCCCTTCTTTATTAGAAGGGCATCAAAATCGCGCCTTTTCAAACTTACGTTCATATAAGTTCTTCAAATTTTTAACTTAGACCACTTTCATAATTAACACTAAATGAATTCTATGTAATATTGAAATTACGCTATTTCATTTTTGACGATATCGCAAAAATTACATTAAATTAATTTAGTTTAAAATAATATGGTGAAAAATAACTGATAAACCCATTTTTTTTAAATTTTTACTTAATCCGCTGTCATAATTATGAGCGCATATATATAAGTGAGAGTACTGGAGTTTCTTAATGTGCTCGTTTGAGATCAGTTTTTCCATATCCCATCTACAACAAATAATAAAATGTCAAAATTACAACGTGGCTGAATAATTTTCACATTAACTAATTAAGAGTTGAAGTTTTAATATACGTTATGAAAAACGTTTTCCGAGAAATCACGATACAAATCACGATAGCTTACACAAGGTCAGACTTGTAATATACCGCATAAATGAAACAATTTCATCTATTCCCATAGACCAACAAATGTGTTTAATAAAAATAGGTAATTTCCTGAAACAATATTTGCCAAATGAGCTTTACAAGTGGACTACCTAACTAATTTTTTTATGTAGTCTCATGGGATACGCATACGAAGTGCGCTCAGGACAAGAAAACATAAGAAATGAACTTACAGATGAGCCAGATTTGAGAGAGACCCATAATGTTGTTTTACGATTAGTCAGATTGATACTTAAAATGAGGAATCATACAGTGTTTTTCGATCATTTTTCCATGTCATTGCTACTGACATACTATCTGTCGAAACGACGGACAACGAGCAACACTGTGTCGGAACTGTACAACAGATTAGATGGCCTAATTATAGATTCACGGACAAGAATGATTTAGCAAAGACGGCAATCTTAAGAGGAAAGAATTTCTCATCATAATATTGACTTTTCAGCGATAGCGTGGAAAGACAACTAGGTTATGGCTTTATCGTCTACTAATATTGACTCGCGATCCGTACGCAATATCTACCGATATGATAAGTGACTAAAGCAAAAGATCGATATCTCTTGTCCAAAAATAGTACAAAAGTATAATATGCACATGAGAAGAGTGGATTTGATGGATAGCTACTTAGGTCGCTGTCGTATAGAAACCATAAGCCGCAAACGGTGCCTCCGCCTATTCTATCATCAGTTAGACCTTGCCATGATAAATTCGTACTTATAAAAAAAAGACTCTATTGCCAACGGCCCTCAAACAAACAATTATCAAATCTTGGTCAGTTTCGCAATGATATGGCTGATGCTCTTTGCAATGTGGCTCTCATATAAACGGCTATAAAAGTTGTGTGTTAGGTAATAGCACATAGAACAAAGTTTACAAACGAAAAACCTTAGAGGGTTATCTCATCCTTCGCAGTCTATGGCCGCAGGAAAGGACGGCGTTGTTCACTGGGGTATATTTCCAAACAGATTAAGGTGTGTGCCATGTTCCTTTATGTTTAAACGGTAAAAATAATTGTTTCATGGATTTTCATGTTTTGTAATGGAATGCCCGCTATCACTTATGTTTAATGTATTATATACTATGGTACGCAGTAAATTTGTACAACTCAAAGAGCTATTTTGCATTTGCTATTTGATGTACAAACACTTCAGTATGTTAAAGAAAAACTCTTATTTAAGTGTTAAGAAAAAATTGGAATCCAGAAGTGAACCACGATTTTGCCGTACAAGTAAAATAGATTCGCTGTTCATGTATATATATAGCTTATAGGATTTACATTTCCTGGAACAACTACAGAATTCGGGCAACTAGAGCGTTCAGCATTGTCGGCGCTTTCAAAAATAATTGAATTCCCTGATACAAAGTCTCCGCAATGTTTATCAAGCCACTTTTTGGATTCAACAGAATTTTCCCCCATCAAAAATCATTTTTAATCATGACATTAATGATTGTCTGGTTTTTGTCCATTCCTTTAACTCACTGAAACGGCTATAACCACTATAACCTGTAAACTAGTTGTCAGAATATCATGAAACTTTGACCCGTATCATTCGAAGGCTGGTAAATTCAAAAATCATATGGGACTGTCAACATTGTCGTCGGGGACTTATTGTATGGAAAAAGAAGAGAATTAAGCCGCATCCCGGATCCTTGTCTGTAACTGTTACGATTAGCATATTCAAAATTTTTGTTTAGAACAACAAATTTCGTCTTAAGCATTTTCTTAGAACGTTTCTCAAGTTAAATTCAAAAATCAAACCAATTTCCAACTTTTAGATACTTAGACGTGTAATGTCATATTGAAAAATAAAATGGACCGAGTGTTCAATCATAATGAACCACAAACCATACATGTAAAAGACGGAAGAATTGTAAGTATAGGTAAAGTTAGCCATGAAACGGTACGAAATTGCGCAAAAGTGTGATTTGAAATATGCACGATATAATATACATCGATCGAATGGATCTTCCTTCCATTTCCAGCTTTTATATGGAAACGTTGGCAGATAAGTCAGAGTTGAACATAATTTTTTTTTTTTTAAAAATTGTTTTTTTTCGAAACTTTAAATGTTGCTTGCACAAAATGCTTGCAAAAATTTAAAAAGAGAAAACATTGAAATTCATTTTGATAGACTATCGAAGAGATTTTTCCGCGAAATTTACAAATTATATTAACTATTGCATTATATTCCTGAAGTTTCTAAAAAAGGGATATTTATTATGTGTACAAATAAATTTGTCCCGTTTTTAGTAAAACTCAACTTTATTTAAAATATAACTGCTACATAGCTTAACAATCGAAATACGTATCATACTTATCTATAGTCTTTTACCGTTTATCGGATAGTTTATAATTGCTCTTACGGTAGAAAGCAATTGGTTTGGAGGAGAAATAGTCGTCGACCCATTTTTGCACATCTTCTTCAACTTCTGTGAACCGCTAACCTGCTAAATATGACTGCTTCATCAACCTGAATAGGCGGTAATAGGAAGGTGCGAGGTCCGAAGAATATAACGGATGTCGCAAAACTTCCCAGCTTAAGCCGAAAATTAATTTCTTAATTCTTTTACTAAATATGAACGAACATAAGGGAATCTTCGTTTTTAAGACTATAATTTTTTTGCATGAACTGATGCAAAAGATTTTCTGCCTGTTTCGTAGCTTACTGCATTTTCATTTCAATCCAATTTAATTATTTCCATAGCTTCAGCTGCATTATTTCAAAGTTAAGCCAGTTAAATACACAGAAAACACAGCCCCGCAAATGACATGCAACGCTTTCAATTTTGATAAATAGTCAGCGATAGCGTTACACTGTTCAAACTTACATCGTTTAAACATTAATATCTAAGTTATCTATACCTGCAATTTTGGAAAAAATGAATGCGACAGCCACGTTTTATGAAGCAATCGATTTCAAGCGAATTAGTTTATTTGTACGCCTATTATCAAAGCAAATAACTCTTTTAATAGAGCCACAACCTCAAAATAATTTCTTATATAACGCCATTATAGAAGAAGATTGGAAGAAAAGCTTTTAATACTCTTTTAAACTTGTGTAAAGAAAAATTAATTTGTATTAATGTAAGTGACAAAATAGCCCGATTGGGTGGGGACAAACCATTGCACTTCAAAAGCCCCATTAATTTTTTGTGTTCGATTCTTTTTCAACCCATTTAATTTTCTTATCTAATTATAAGAAAACAACGTCGTTCGGTTTAGCAGACAATAAGTGAAATTGTTTTATAATATTTTGTGTATCGATTTTGTATCCATTTACACACCATGTCCAAAGTTTAAACAAAGTTAAAAATTCGAATGACGAATAATATTTGTCGCTTAGCAAAACTAAACAATCTTTATCTTTTCTGAGAGAAAGTTCTACGTTTTCGTCTCTAAACTTCTTATTTAATAATAGAAGAAGACGTAGAAAAATGTTGAAGAAAAAACTTATTTATAGGTATATATGATAAGAATATATAAAGGTAATGTATAAGTTAACAACACTTAAAAAGATTGCCTCGCATTCGAAGTTTTAGTGTTAGCCAGCAACATATTTGGCCCAAATTTATATAACAAATATAGAATTTTTTGTTAAAAGTGAGCAAACACGGAACAAAGCGATTAATATCTCAATTCTTTCTTTGAATATGTGATATAACAGAACCAACAAAATGACAAAAGGGTCCAGCATTTTGTTCAACATTCAAACTAGAAGATTTTTACGGACTTCTGGTGTTTCTGTCATGCAAAACGGTAGTAACTCTGTCAATTAGCAGCCATAGGTGAACTTGCTCTCTCATTCTCAAATATTCTGTTAATAGTTTCTTGATATTAACCTCACATTACCTCAATTATTTGCAAAGCCGAACCATATACAATTGTATATGTGTTTTTCGAAGAATATGCGTTGATGTATCGTCGATTAATATGTTCATGTTTTGCCAAAATTCGCACGGCAACCGAATAGACAATAAACGAGCTGTAAGAAATTATATTTGACGTGAAACAGATTTTTTTATATCCGCTACTCAAATGCCATATTTGGCTGAAATATACTTAGGGTTTTTTTTTCTTGTAGAAAATGAAGAAAAGAGCTTAAACCGTGCTGTAATTAAACGGAAGACCTTGAAATATTGAAAATATGTAGAACATGTCAAAAGTGTCGGCATAGGTACCAAAACAGGTCTCTAACCTTCGCAAATAGCTTTCGTAGCCATTGGCGTGACTTGGTATAACCGTATCTGCTGCTACGGACTCTTTCGTTAAAAAATATAATTTGAAAATGTGGCAGGACCGTAGCGAACAGAACACAAACATCAGACAATTGAATTTGGATGCAGGCTAATGGGTTTTTTTTTTGGTTTTATATATCTTGTGAGTCTTATTAAATTATGATATGTTAATGTTAAATTCACGCGAGCGTGTACAAGCTCGTAAAAGAAAGAACTGTATATTTTATATATATGTTATATATCTACATATATCTATATATATATATATATAAATATATGTTATATATAGATATATACTTGCGCCAAACCACAACCCAACCGCATTATGTTAAGAACGTTAATAGAAAAGGAAGCGAAAACCATATGACCAAAAAGAATAAAAAAAAATTCTAAGGTATGCTTTGCTTTTTTATTATTGAGCATAAATAAAATGTAATAATTCAAAGTAAATATAGAGTAAAAGCTCCTTATTCGCGCTTCCCTTATTCGCGGACGGAAAAAATGAGACCAATTCCCATATTCGCGGCTATAAATTTCTTTATTCTCTGTTTTTGAGAATGTAAACAACAGAATGAAGGGAACCTTATTACTTAAT